TCAGGGAACGCGTGACCGATTGAGATATAATGATTAGGTTGTGATTTCAGGGAACATATGACTGTTTGAGATATAATGATTACGTTGTGATTTCAGGGAACATGTGACTGTTTGAGATATATATAATGATTAGGTTGTGATTTCAGGGAACGCGTGACTGTTTGATATATAATGATTAGGTTGTGATTGTAGGGAACATATGACTGTTTGAGATATATATGATGATTACGTTGTGATTTCAGGGAACATGTGACTGTTTGATATATAATGATTAGGTTGTGATTGTAGGGAACGCGTGACTGTTTGAGATATAATGATTAGGTTGTGATTGTAGGGAACGCGTGACCGTTTGATATATAATGATTAGGTTGTGATTGTAGGGAACGCGTGACCGTTTGAGATATAATGATTACGTTGTGATTTCAGGGAACGCGTGACCGTTTGAGATATAATGATTACGTTGTGATTTTAGGGAACATGTGACTGTTTGAGATATATATAATGATTAGGTTGTGATTTCAGGGAACATGTGACTGTTTGAGATATAATGATTACGTTGTGATTTCAGGGAACATATGACTGTTTGAGATATAATGATTACGTTGTGATTTCAGGGAACATATGACTGTTTGAGATATAATGATTACGTTGTGATTTCAGGGAACATATGACTGTTTGAGATATAATGATTACGTTGTGATTTCAGGGAACATGTTACTGTTTGAGATATAATGATTAGGTTGTGATTTCAGGGAACATGTGACTGTTTGAGATATAATGATTACGCTGTGATTTCAGGGAACATGTGACTGTTTAAGATATAATGATTACGTTGTGATTTCAGGGAACATGTGACTGTTTAAGATATAATGATTACGTTGTGATTTCAGGGAACATGTGTCTGTTTGAGATATATATAATGATTACGTTGTGATTTCAGGGAACATGTGACTGTTTGAGATATAATGATTACGTTGTGATTTCAGGGAACGTGTGACTGTTTGAGATATAATGATTACGTTGTGATTTTAGGGAATGTGTGACTGTTTGAGATATAATGATTACGTTGTGATTTCAGGGAACGTGTGACCGTTTGAGATATAATGATTACGTTGTGATTTCAGGGAACATGTGACTGTTTGAGATATAATGATTACGTTGTGATTTCAGGGAACGTGTGACTGTTTGAGATATAATGATTACGTTGTGATTTCAGGGAACATGTGACTGTTTAAGATATAATGATTAGGTTGTGATTTCAGGGAACATGTGTCTGTTTGAGATATATATAATGATTACGTTGTGATTTCAGGGAACATGTGACTGTTTGAGATATAATGATTACGTTGTGATTTCAGGGAACATGTGACTGTTTGAGATATAATGATTACGTTGTGATTTCAGGGAACATGTGACTGTTTGATATATATAATGATTACGTTGTGATTTCAGGGAACATGTGACTGTTTGAGATATAATGATTACGTTGTGATTTCAGGGAACGTGTGACTGTTTGAGATATAATGATTACGTTGTGATTTCAGGGAACGTGTGACTGTTTGAGATATAATGATTACGTTGTGATTTTAGGGAACATATGACTGTTTGATATATATATAATGATTACGTTGTGATTTCAGGGAACATGTGACTGTTTGAGATATAATGATTACGTTGTGATTTCAGGGAACGTGTGACCGTTTGAGATATAATGATTAGGTTGTGATTTCAGGGAACATGTGACCGTTTGAGATATAATGATAACGTTGTGATTTTAGGGAATGTGTGACTGTTTGAGATATAATGATTACGTTGTGATTTCAGGGAACATGTGACTGTTTGAGATATATATAATGATTAGGTTGTGATTTCAGGGAACATGTGACTGTTTGAGATATAATGATTAGGTTGTGATTTCAGGGAACATGTGACTGTTTGAGATATATATAATGATTAGGTTGTGATTTCAGGGAACATGTGACTGTTTGAGATATATATAATGATTAGGTTGTGATTTCAGGGAACATGTGACTGTTTGAGATATATATAATGATTAGGTTGTGATTTCAGGGAACATGTGACTGTTTGAGATATATATAATGATTAGGTTGTGATTTCAGGGAACATGTGACTGTTTGAGATATAATGATAACGTTGTGATTTTAGGGAATGTGTGACTGTTTGAGATATAATGATTACGTTGTGATTTTAGGGAACATGTGACTGTTTGAGATATATATAATGATTAGGTTGTGATTTCAGGGAACATGTGACTGTTTGAGATATAATGATTACGTTGTGATTTCAGGGAACATATGACTGTTTGAGATATAATGATTACGTTGTGATTTCAGGGAACATGTGACTGTTTGATATATAATGATTAGGTTGTGATTGTAGGGAACATATGACTGTTTGAGATATATATAATGATTACGTTGTGATTTCAGGGAACATGTGACTGTTTGAGATATAATGATAACGTTGTGATTTTAGGGAATGTGTGACTGTTTGAGATATAATGATAACGTTGTGATTTCAGGGAACATATGACTGTTTGAGATATAATGATTACGTTGTGATTTCAGGGAACATGTGACTGTTTGAGATATAATGATTACGTTGTGATTTCAGGGAACATGTGATGTTTGAGATATATATAATGATTAGGTTGTGATTTCAGGGAACATGTGACTGTTTGAGATATAATGATTACGTTGTGATTTCAGGGAACATATGACTGTTTAAGATATAATGATTACGTTGTGATTTCAGGGAACGCGTGACTGTTTGATATAAAATGATTAGGTTGTGATTTCAGGGAACGCGTGACCGTTTGAGATATAATGATTACGTTGTGATTTCAGGGAACGTGAAATATTTTCAGATATGATGATTTCTTTCTGATTTAAGCGAAAATGAAACATTTTTTCGTGTAAGATTAATTGTTTAGGATTTTAACAAACGTGTGATGCAATGGCATAAACATTAAATTTGTATTGTTACTTATGTAGAAAGTATCTGTTGCGACCAAAAGAGGTGAAACGTCAAATAGTTAAACAACTACCCAACTACCCCACCAACCAACCAATCAACCAACTACCCCACCAACCAACCAATCAACCAACTACCCCACCAACCAACCAATCAACCAACTACCCCACCAACCAACCAATCAACCAACTACCCCACCAACCAACCAATCAACCAACTACCCCACCAACCAACCAATCAACCAACTACCCCACCAACCAACCAATCAACCAACTACCCCACCAACCAACCAATCAACCAACTACCCCACCAACCAACCAATCAACCAACTACCCCACCAACCAACCAATCAACCAACTACCCCACCAACCAACCAATCAACCAACTACCCCACCAACCAACCAATCAACCAACCAATCTCACTCTACACTTTGGAGGGCTGACACTTGGGGAGGTCTACCGAGTATTTATTTTACAAAGCATCAACTTCCTGGTCCCGTGCATTAACAGGAAGTTATGTTTACTTTTTATAGCACTTTTTCATCTCTTTCGGAGAACACATGACATAATCACGAGGTAACAAGGAAATGTTTCGTGATAACACAATCATTTCTATAATAACGGACATACCAATTCTATAGGGATTTTGATATTCGAGTCCTAACCGTATCGTTTCTATGTTGAAACGTTAAGATTACCTTTATTAACAGTGTTTTAACACTCTGACTTCCCCATTCAGAACGTGTCACAAAATAAAACAATTATCATTAAGTAATCTTGGAAAAATTCTATCTAAAATCGGTTCTGTGTGTCGACAAAGAGACCATGCATCACTGGATATCGCCGGTATATAAAGAATTTCTAGCAAGCCGAAAGTTATATTAATACGTGTACAAAGTTTCCGTATGAAACTTCTTACAACTATAAAACGTCAGAAACATATATTCAAAGGAATAACAAGTAAGCATTCGCGTGCGGTATTCAATGGACTGCCGTTTGACATGTCGATAGAGTAAGAGGGTGGTATTCAATGACCGCCGTTTGACATGTCGATAGAGTGATTGGTGGTTTTCAATGGACCGCCGTTTGACATGTCGATAGAGTGATTGGTGGTATTCAATTGACCGCCGTTTGACATGTCGATAGAGTGATTGGTGGTATTCAATTGACCGCCGTTTGACATATCGATAGAGTGAGTGGCGGTATTCAATGGACCGCCGTTTGACATGTCGATAGAGTGAGTGGTGGTATTCAGTGGTCCGCCGTTTGACATGTCGATAGAGTTAAAGGGTGGTATTCAATGGACCGCCGTTTGACATGTCGATAGAGTGAGTGGTGGTATTCAATGTACCGCCGTTTGACATGTCGATAGAGTGAGTGGTGGTATTCAATGGACCGCCGTTTGACATGTCGATAGAGTGAGTTGTGGTATTCTTTGGTCCGCTATTTGACATGTCGATAGAGTTAGAGGGTGGTATTCAAAGTACTGCCGTTTGACATGTCGATAGAGTGAGTGGTGGTATTCAGTGGTCCGTCGTTTGACATGTCAATAGAGTAAGAGGGTGGTATTCAATGACCGCCGTTTGACATGTCGTTAGAGTGAGTGGTGGTATTCAATGGTCCGCCGTTTGACATGTCGATAGAGTGATTGGTGGTTTTCAATGGACCGCCGTTTGACATGTCGATAGAGTGATTGGTGGTATTCAATGGACCGCCGTTTGACATGTCGATAGAGTGAGTGGTGGTATTCAATGGACCGCCGTTTAACATGTCGATAGAGTGAGTGGTGGTATTCAGTGGTCCGTCGTTTGACATGTCGATAGAGTTAAAGGGTGGTATTCAATGGACCGTCGTTTGACATGACGATAGAGTGAGTGGTGGTATTCAATGTACCGCCGTTTGACATGTCGATAGAGTGAGCGGTGGTATTCAATGGACCGCCGTTTGACATGTCGATAGAGTGAGTTGTGGTATTCTTTGGTTCGCTATTTGACATGTCGATAGAGTTAGAGGGTGGTATTCAAAGTACTGCCGTTTGACATGTCGATAGAGTGAGTGGTGGTATTCAGTGGTCCGTCGTTTGACATGTCAATAGAGTGAGTGGTGGCATTCAATGTACCGCCGTTTGACATGTCGATAGAGTGAATGGTGGTATGCAATGTACCGCCGTTTGACATGTCGATAGAGTGAGCGGTGGTATTCAATGGACCGCCGTTTGACATGTCGATAGAGTGAGTGGTGGTATTCAATGGACCGCCGTTTGACATGTCGATAGAGTGAGTGGTGGTATTCAATGTACCGCCGTTTGACATATCGATAGAGTGAGTGATGGTATTCAATGGACCGCCGTTTGACATGTCGATAGAGTGAGTGATGGTATTCAATGGACTGCCGTTTGACATGTCGATAGAGTGATTGGTGGTTTTCTTTGGTCCGCCGTTTGACATGTCGATAGAGTGGATGGTGGTATTCAATGGACAGACGTTTGACATGTCGATAGAATGAGTGGCGGTATTCAATGGACCGCCGTTTGACATATCGATAGAGTGAGTGATGGTATTCAATGGACCGCCGTTTGACATGTCGATAGAGTGAGTGATGGTATTCAATGGACTGCCGTTTGACATGTCGATAGAGTGATTGGTGGTTTTCTTTGGTCCGCCGTTTGACATGTCGATAGAGTGGATGGTGGTATTCAATGGACAGACGTTTGACATGTCGATAGAATGAGTGGCGGTATTCAATGGACCGCCGTTTGACATGTCGATAGAGTGAGTGGTGGTATTTTTTTTACCGCCGTTTGACATGTCGATAGAGTGGGTGGTGGTATTAAATGGACAGACGTTTGACATGTCGATAGAATGAGTGGCGGTATTCAATGGACCGCCGTTTGACATGTCGATAGAGAGAGTGGTGGTATTCTTTGGTCCGCCGTTTGACATGTCGATAGAGTGAGTGGTGGTATTAAATGGTCCGCCATTTGACATGTCGATAGAGTGAGTGGCGGTATTCAATGGACCGCCGTTTGACATGTCGATAGAGTTAGTGGTGGTATTCTTTGGACCGCCGTTTGACATGTCGATAGAGTTAGTGGTTCTCTGTCCTACTATGTAGTTTTACTTCTATCCCAGAATTCCAGATTTTTTTGTTTCAAATAGTCCCGTCCTTCCGTCTGGTGTGGTCACATGGTCTTATCATATTGATTGGTTCAGAACGATTATATCATTGTTACTTTTTTTTTATCTCGTTTCATAATGATGGACTGTTTCGTATCATCATGGAATGGTCACATGACCAGATCCACCTAGTCCGGTAAAACTAATTGATCGTCATGAGTCCAACAATGTGATTTGGTCTGACAAAGCTTAGCCCCTTTGGTCACGTCAATATATGTTACGCGTCTTCGCTATTTTCATTTTATTGTTTGACGAATTGAGGATTGTTTGTTTGTTTTGGTCACATGACTTTCCCTTCACTTGTCTCTTTGTTTAGGAATTAATGATCTTTCAGCCTATTGACACTTGGATATTTTTGGTTGACAAGGCTCATTTGATTGACAGAAGGAAAAACTTGGTCGACAGAAGGACACACTTAACAGACTGTTGGAAACACTTGATTGACAGGTGAATACATTTGATTGGCAGATAGATACAGTTGCGTTACAGTCGGATAAACTTGATTGACAGATATACATGACTGTAGTATATTACATAGCCGTAGCTGAGGCGATTGCACATCTATTTTAAATGTGCTAAAGATTTGCTTGTAAAGTATTAATCCCTTATACAACTTGTAATCCTGACAACCTACAAGGTTCGTGCATATGCATCGACTTATGACCTTGTGATATGACCTTGACTTTTACTGACACGCTGAGATTGAGGTGATAGGTTCTTGTAATCTGTACCAATATTTTAACACCATGGCATCTTGTTATAAATTGGTGCTGTGATAAGGGAGTTGGGATATATTAGAGTGTAATCTGACACAGGGTTTTAGTGGTGTTACGACATGTCATTGTACTATATCTAAGGACTGAAACTAGCATGCAACGTCTCAGACTACGCCAATAAAAACACGTTAGATTTGATCGGCAAAAACAAATGTCTTGATGCATTCCACATCGGAGTAATAAAATGTATCCGTCTATTTTTCTACGCTGTGGTATCAAATGTAACAATATTTACGAGCGATATACGGCGATTTACTCCTTATCTTGGCAAGCGCGGAGGGATATGACCACACTGCTTTCAGATACAGGGGATGTCTGTGTCAAAGTGGGCAGATAACCCTGCTCTAATTTGTTATAGCGCAATGATTTATGGGAATTTATTTCCCCTATCAAAACATGTCTGTCGTCTACAATCATCATTTGCCTCATAACATCTAGACACCGGTGTATATCATGGTGTTATCAATTGGAAATGTTTCCGATTTTATATTTCAAGTCTTTTGTGTTTCCATGAAGGAGACAGTAGTTTATCTAAAGCTACAAAGACAGTCGGTAGAATTCATGTCTACGGAAACAGACATAAACCTGTCAAACTCCACAGACTCTCCGCTGCTGGTCAACAAACCCGACAATTGGTCAAACATTTTACACTATCCTGGTAGAATCTCGTCCCAACACTCTCCTAGCTTTCCGCCATATAATTCCTCTCTCATGCAATTCAGACTCTCCCCAGAAAATCACTGTAACAATGTTCGTACTTTTTAGGAGTGCCTGTCCTCAGTCTGTTTATCTTAGTCATCACAACACAGCCTGTCCTCAGTCTGTTTATCTTAGTCATCACAACAGTGCCTGTCCTCAGTCTGTTTATCTTAGTCATCACAACACAGCCTGTCCTCAGTCTGTTTATCTTAGTCATCACAACACAGCCTGTCCTCAGTCTGTTTGTCTTAGTCATCAAAACACAGCCTGTCCTCAGTCTGTTTATCTTAGTCATCAAAACACAGCCTGTCCTCAGTCTGTTTATCTTAGTCATCACAACACAGCCTGTCCTCAGTCTGTTTATCTTAGTCATCAAAACACAGCCTGTCCTCAGTCTGTTTATCTTAGTCATCACAACACAGCCTGTCCTCAGTCTGTTTATCTTAGTCATCACAACAGTGCCTGTCCTCAGCCTGTTTATCTTAGTCATCACAACACAGCCTGTCCTCAGTCTGTTTATCTTAGTCATCACAACAGTGCCTGTCCTCAGTCTGTTTATCTTAGTCATCGCAACACAGCCTGTCCTCAGTCTGTTTGTCTTAGTCATCAAAACACAGCCTGTCCTCAGTCTGTTTGTCTTAGTCATCACAACACAGCCTGTCCTCAGTCTGTTTATCTTAGTCATCACAACACAGCCTGTCCTCAGTCTGTTTGTCTTAGTCATCCCAACAGGGTCTGTTCTCAGTCTGTTAGTCTTAGTCATCAAAACACAGCCTGTCCTCAGTCTGTTTGTCTTAGTCATCACAACACAGCCTGTCCTCAGTCTGTTTATCTTAGTCATCACAACACAGCCTGTCCTCAGTCTGTTTATCTTAGTCATCACAACAGTGCCTGTCCTCAGTCTGTTTATCTTAGTCATCGCAACACAGCCTGTCCTCAGTCTGTTTGTCTTAGTCATCAAAACACAGCCTGTCCTCAGTCTGTTTGTCTTAGTCATCACAACACAGCCTGTCCTCAGTCTGTTTATCTTAGTCATCACAACACAGCCTGTCCTCAGTCTGTTTGTCTTAGTCATCCCAACAGGGTCTGTCCTTAGTCTGTTTGTCTTAGTCATCAAAACACAGCCTGTCCTCAGTCTGTTTATCTTAGTCATCAAAACACGGCCTGTCCTCAGTGTGTTTATCTTAGTGATCACAACAGAGTCTGTTCTCAGTCTGTTAGTCTTAGTCATCAAAACACAGCCTGTCCTCAGTCTGTTTATCTTAGTCATCAAAACACAGCCTGTCCTCAGTCTGTTTATCTTAGTCATCAAAACACAGCCTGTCCTTAGTCTGTTTGTCTTAGTCATCAAAACACAGCCTGTCCTCAGTCTGTTTATCTTAGTAATCAAAACACAGCCTGTCCTCAGTCTGTTTGTCTTAGTCATCACAACAGAGTATGTCCTCAGTCTGTTTGTCTTAGTCATCAAAACCAGGTCTGTCCTTAGTCAGTGTTTCCCAGTTTTGTTAATCATCAAACCGGGTCTGTTCTCAGTCAGTTTATCATAATTTTTAGTCATCAAACCAGATATATGCTGGTACAGCTCTGTTTTAGCCAATTATACACTAATTGTGCTGGTACAGCATACACTAGTTGTGCTGGTACAGTATACACTAGTTGTGCTGGTTCAGCATACACTAGTTGTGTTGGTCCAGCTATGTTTTAGCCAGTATACACTAGTTGTGCTGGTCCAGCTCTGTCTTAGCCTCTAAACACTACTTGTTCTGGCACAGCTATGTTTTAGCCAGTATACACTAGTTGTGTTGGTCCAGCTATGTTTTAGCCAGTATACACTAGTTGTGCTGGTCCAGCTCTGTCTTAGCCTCTAAACACTACTTGTTCTGGCACAGCTATGTTTTAGCCAGTATACACTAGTTGTGTTGGTCCAGCTATGTTTTAGCCAGTATACACTAGTTGTGCTGGTCCAGCTCTGTCTTAGCCTCTAAACACTACTTGTTCTGGCACAGCTATGTTTTAGCCAGTATACACTAGTCGTGCTGGAACAGCTCTGTTTTAGCCAGTATACACTAATTGTGCTGGTCCAGCTATATTTTAGCCAGTATACACTAGTTGTGTTGGTCCAGCTATGTTTTAACCAGTATATACTAGTTGTGCTGGTCCAGCTATATTTTAGCCAGTATACACTAGTTGTGTTGGTCCAGCTATGTTTTAGCCAGTATACACTAATTGTGCTGGTCCAGCTATATTTTAGCCAGTATACACTAGTTGTGCTGGTCCAGCTCTGTTTTAACCAGTATATACTAGTTGTGCTGGTTCAGCATACACTAGTTGTGCTGGTCCAGCTATGTTTTAGCCAGTATATACTAGTTGTGCTGTTTCAGCAGACACTAGTTGTGCTGGTCCAGCTATGTTTTAACCAGTATACACTAGTTGTGCTGGTACAGCATACACTAGTTGTGCTGGTACAGCTATGTTTTAGCCAGTATACACTAGTTGTGCTGGTCCAGCTCTGTCTTTAGCCTCTAAACACTACTTGTTCTGGTACAGCTATGTTTTAGCCAGTACACACTCGTTGTGCTAGTCCAGCTGTGTTTTAGCCAGTATACACTTATTGTGCTGGTACAGCTATGTTTTAGCCAGTATACACTAGTTGTGCTGGTACAGCTATGTTTTAGCCAGTATACACTAGTTGTGCTGGTACAGCTATGTTTTAACCAGTATATACTAGTTGTGCTGGTCCAGCTATATTTTAGCCAGTATACACTAGTTGTGTTGGTCCAGCTATGTTTTAGCCAGTATACACTAGTTGTGTTGGTCCAGCTATGTTTTAACCAGTATATACTAGTTGTGCTGGTCCAGCTATATTTTAGCCAGTATACACTAGTTGTGCTGGTACAGCTATGTTTTAGCCAGTATACACTAGTTGTGTTGGTCCAGCTATGTTTTAACCAGTATATACTAGTTGTGCTGGTCCAGCTATATTTTAGCCAGTATACACTAGTTGTGTTGGTCCAGCTATGTTTTAGCCAGTATACACTAATTGTGCTGGTCCAGCTATATTTTAGCCAGTATACACTAGTTGTGCTGGTCCAGCTCTGTTTTAACCAGTATATACTAGTTGTGCTGGTTCAGCATACACTAGTTGTGCTGGTCCAGCTATGTTTTAGCCAGTATACACTAGTTGTGCTGGTTCAGCATACACTAGTTGTGCTGGTCCAGCTATGTTTTAACCAGTATACACTAGTTGTGCTGGTACAGCATACACTAGTTGTGCTGGTACAGCTGTTTTAGCCAGTATACACTAGTTGTGCTGGTCCAGCTCTGTCTTTAGCCTCTAAACACTACTTGTTCTGGTACAGCTATGTTTTAGCCAGTACACACTCGTTGTGCTAGTCCAGCTGTGTTTTAGCCAGTATACACTAGTTG